TTGTATCAAATTGTGTTCTAAGTCCCTGTATTTAATTTATCTATTTAGGATATAATGAAGAATAAAAATAATATGTCCTTTTAAGAGTCAAAGATTATTACCCATACAAATCGTGTCAAAAAAAAGCAATATTAAACTAGATAATCAAGGCAATATAAACTTCACTAAATTTTTGCTTATATTTTAAATAATTTATCTTATTTATTATATTGAGTTGTTATAAATAATATTAGGACTTCAATATATTGATTATCAATCATTTTTATTTATTGCAGTTAATTACTAAAAATATAAGGTCTTATAACTAAAAAATGGAGCAGTGTATCAAAATTGTGTTGACTTTGGTAATATTCTTTGTAAGTTGGTAAGTAAAACATTTGGATATATGTTATTAAGAGTAGTATTTAAATTGGGACTTTTCATAATTATATGTTTATCGTTATTGAAAAACAATTGCAAACATGATAACATGAGGTTGCATGATAAAAAATATATTATTTTTAATCTACTAGTATTAATGGTGGTGTTACGATATTTACAGGCTGATCATGCAGTTGATTTTGAGTTTTCTTTATGTTTATTCATGACGTTTAATGTCTTTTTTATAGATTTACTAAATGAGAACAAAGGAGAGTTGAAGGTGGCAGCTTTAATAACTTACATATTTACCTTTAAATATAAAAGGTGATTTTGTGGGTGAGTATTAGTGGTTTGTTTATAGTTTGAAGACATAATTAATTGGTGCGTGATATGGCTTCATTTCATTAAAAGTTCGGAGATTCCAGTTGAAAATCGACTGCCCATTGAAAGTATTTTCAACCGTTTTGAAAGATGTATTGGTTATTAAAAAATCTGTTTCAACTCCTGTTCTTTATCTATATAGTTAAATTTTGTCAAAAACTTATTCATCACTGAATAAAATGAACTAAAATAAAAAATAGTTGATTTCTATACTGGTAGACATTGTGTGAAAGGGTCCATTTTGTGATAATATAATTATTAGCATATTCTTAGAAGTTTGGTTAATTTAAAATAGGTTTTTTAATTTTGTCTGCTTTACTTTAATATAACTTTTTATATTTAAAAACTTTTTAATTAAAAAATGTAATATTTAGTTTGTTTGAAGCTTTCAAAAATGAGCAAGTAAAAGTTTTATTTAATCCGAATTTTTTGTGCTGAAAATTAAATGAATTAATTAAAAACATAAATAACAAAAATTAAACAAATATTTGCTTAAACTTTGTAGGGATAATCCTTCTGGAATAGACGGTCACTTAATCGCCTGTCAAATTTAGGGTGCATTGCGAAAAAGTTGACTGAAATTTGAAATTATGAAACCAAAATAAAATACTTTTTAGCAAATAAAATCAAATATTAAAGAGTTTTTGCTTTTCAAACAGTCGAGTTGAGTAAAATTTCACCCAAATTTTTTTGTTTATTATTTCTTTTTGATTAATTAATTTACATTTACAAACTTCATTAAAAATCTACAACTCACACACAAAATGTTATTAGCATGAAACAAAATATTTACCGTGAACGGAATTTTTTCGCAATTACAATAAAATTTGAAATTTTAATAATTTTGTTTACATTTCGTTATGTTCTAGAACACATATGCTACTCTACTCGCTGCTCTAAGGAGGCTCATTTAAAATTCAATTACACCTTTCCTCGTTCGTGTAGACGAGTAAAGTGGAGTTAGTTCCGTGCACCTTTGGTGGCACGTAATTTGAACTTATACGGCGCGCCCACACACAATTGTATCCCTTTAATTATATAGCCCACTGTGTGTTTTGTTCGCAAAATGTAATGCTTTATTTAGGGGTAAAAATACTCGAATATACAATATTTAATTTGCAGTTTATTGGAACTCTGGCATTCAACTTAATAATGTTGAAGAATGTCGGCACTATTCTCAATTTAATTGGTTCAATAATAATTTTCTTGTTTATTTGACCTAATTTCATTCTAAATCGTCCTTATAACGTTATAAGGTTAGATTAGCTTATATGTAGATGCATAAAAACCCTCCTTGTGTAAGTTTAATAATATCACAATAGGAAAAGAAAGTTTTACTAATATGTATATACATATATATATCAAAATAATTTTTTCTCAAGGCTCCATAAATTTTGAAGCTAATTATTTAGATGAAGAAAGCTAAAATAAACGTAAGCGAGAGTTAATTTGAGCTATTAAAGAAGATTTACGATACTCTACTTGAAAACAAACTTGAATTATAAAAATTTAAATAGTTTATTTAGAGTAATTCGTTATTAGTTACTTATTACAATGATGGTGTATATACATCATGAGTATATACATGTATGTAATGTTGTGAATACAATTCTATTGTTTTTTTATAATATTAAAAATGAATGCTGAAATTTCCTGATTTTATTTACATTTGTTTATTCGTAGTAAAAATATATGATAAGTAGAATCACCTGTCATTTTATCAAATAATGAAAAATAATTTTCAATCTAACCTTCTGGTTAACATGTTAACATTATTAATAGGATAACCTACAAAACTGGAGAAGGGCAGTTCAGCAGGAAACGGTCAAATCGTTTAACGAGTTGAGAGCAATAGCACAAAATAGGAACCAGTGGAAAACTTTTGTAGATTCCTTAAGCTCCTAATGGAGTATTATTTCAATACTCCATTAGGAGCTTAATAACTACAAAAAAAACTCATTATACATAAAAATTAATTGATTACCAAATTTATTCTGAATACACCTAAAGCCGATATCACAATCGTTACTTAAGTCTCAATACTGACTCAAGTCATGCTTAAATTATCAATTTTACGGATGACCTACGTAAACCAAGTTAGTGCACTTACCGAGTTTTATACTTAAGATAGCAAAGTCAATTTATTTACTGATTTTAATATTTAAATCAGTTTAAAGACATAAGTTACGACTGTGACATCGGCTCCTTGTATATATCTCAAAAATGTTATATCCGGTAATATGCTCTGGTAAAAGTTTACTAAGACCAGAACAAATATGATCTGAATACAGTAGTGGCCGATTTCACATAATCGACATAATTTAAGTATCAATACTAATTTAAGTCATACTTAAGTCATCAATTTTATTGACTTAATTGTGATTTTTCCAGTTATTTTGGCCAATCTTATTGACCAATTGCTATGTTTCCTAGATTGATCAAGTTTTACAGAACGAATACACTTTCTTAAAGATCCACAATTTTTAAAGGTTATCAATTGTAGAAAGTTTATATTAGTGTCTACGTAGTAGACCGAAATATCTGCTAAATAAAATTATTTACATAACAACTAAAAAAATTTTATATAATTTTGTTTGTTTTTTAGTTATTATATAAAAACATAAATTAAAATAAATTAAATAAATAAAATAATAAAATATTATAAATTATATAATTATAATTATATATAATATAATAAATATTATAATAAAATAAATAAATTAAAAAACATGACCTAAAGGTTGTCATTTTTATTATAGCAATTGTATTTGTTTCGATTTAAAGGAATTAAGACCTTTTAGATTCATAGATTTAGTCTAAATCTTGCATCTTTAAAAAATATTGAGCTCTTAAACTTATCTTCAATCTACCAATCTACTTAACTTCATTATCAACTTTATTATATTACGAGTACAACCTGCATTACATATAAATAGTTAAAGAATCCTTTAAAGTATTCCTTTAAGGTGTGTTTGGTAGCACATTAACGAGTCCTGAAATTTTATTGAATTATTTGCTTTCATGCAAACTTCATTACAACAAAAATGAACGAGTAGTTGAAGGCATTTTTGTGCGAGTCACACACAAATAATAAACAGTTTTGCCGTACACACTTCAAATCATAATAAAAATTCATGTAACGATTTTTCACAAGTCGTGGGAGTTGGGCAAATGAAATAACTTTTACACAATTGTCCAAGAAAGGCTAAAGCTGGTCGAACAACAAATTACAATGGCGGCCACAAATACATGTGCAAGTAAAGCATAAACATTCACGCACGAAGAATAAAGCAAGCCAAACAAAAACAAGTTTTGAAGTTATCTCATGCGCTTTAATTGGAATGTATGTCGACGTTTGTATGATTGTATGATTGTGTGTATAGTTGATCGTGTGGTTGTTGGTTATTGCGTTTGTTGTTGTTTGAAAAGAGTTGTTTTCATACATGTTTGGACTTATAAATGAATAAAGTAAACAAACATTGAACAACAGCAAGAACAACAACGAAAACACATAAACAAAAAGTTATCATGTAACTGCTACCGTTGCACAAAATTGAATACCAAAGCCAAACTGGCCTGGAACGCATTCAACTTCAATTAGTGTTGCAATTTAACCAAAAATGAGAAACAACATAGATAGAGCGCAGATAGAACAAAGCAGAATAACGACTAACAAACCGACCAACAAAGCTAAGTGCAAAAATGGTCAAGAACAACAGCAAACAGTCAGCGCTGAAGAGCAACAAAACCAGCAAAAACAGCATCCGACTGTAAAAGACACAGAGGAAACACATGAAAAAGTAGAATCAAAATTGTAGGTTGATTGTGGCTTTGTAAACCAAAAAAAAAAAAAAAAAGAAGTCGTCATTTAAAACCGTACTAACAGCGTTACTTTTATTTTTTTTTGTCTATTTTGGGGATGTTGAACAAAAATACAAACAAAATGATTTTGCCGCCAACAAAAAGCGCCGGCAGCTACCAAGTGGTGCAGAGTAAATAAAACTCAAACAAAGGAATTTCACGCACTCTGTTTCAAGGGTTTTAATTTTCAACGACTTGGAAACTTTACTGAAACTCCAAAATTGTTAATATAAATTTGAATAAAATGTTGCCAGAATTGCCACAACACTTGCAAAGTTTGGCTTGTTCAACACAATGACAATTGCTGGCTGGTAGGAAAGCACGAAATCCAACGGAAATTAAATTGTTTGATTATTAAATTTTAGCGCTTCAAATAATATAAAATTAAATTAACTCACCCATTTTAATTAATTTTTAATAGAATAATTCAGAAGAACTTAGAGTAACATTTAAACTATACTTTAAATAACACAACACAAATACATAAGCAACACTTCAAGCTTCGACACCGAATTATGTTAAAAAAAAACAAAAGCCACAACACACAGCGCTCGTAACGTAAGAAGTTGGCTCAATTCAAGCTGCTAAAGCAAACGTGTTTTCTTAACTCTTTTTTTCTAATTCATTTTTTTACGTGTCGTAAGCAAATTATTGAAAGGTGGGTGCGTTTTATATTTAAAGCATAATTTCACTAAATTATAATTTAAAAGTCATTTAAATATTATTTATTACAGTATTTATTTAAATTACAAAAGGAAATTATCTGTTTGTTAATCGTTTATATTTCAACATTTAAAAATCACCATGTTTTTAATATTTACTTTGTAAAAATAAATAAATTCTAAGTAATAAATATTTATTCGTATGGAATTTAACTGCTTCGCAACGCGTTACTAACCACGACACGACCAACCAATTTAACGTTTACCAACAAACTAATAACAAACACAATGCAATAAAGACCGTTTATTTGTAGCGTAAATATCTACGGTCTTTGTATGCAACAAAAAATTGCTAACAGCGATGTTACATTTCAATTGAAACGCCGCACAACACTGGAAAATGTTGTTGTTACGTTCTTACATTTTGATTACGGTAAGTATGTACCACGTAATAAGAAACGTAAATAATTCAAATTGGAAGCTTATAATGTTAAAAGAAATATTTAATATTTTTATATTTTTTGAAATTATATTAAATTTATATGGAATACCTTTCTACTTTCAGTATATTTCGATATGAGAACTATGGTAATTGATGCAAAGTATAAAATTTTAGTAATATTTTTATTTTGTATAATTCATTTGAGAAATAAATTTGTTTAGTCAAAATATAAGAATACCTATTGTTAGTGTTAATATTATTAGTATTATATTTCACTTCGAAATTGAGATAATCTCAAACTTTTGCACAGCTCTGTATATAAAACTATTATATTCATTTTTACTTCAAAACAAAATTAAAATAATTTTTTTATTTATTTGATAAAAACATTTTTATTGAAAATAATAATATTAAGAATTTAGTTTTTTTCGTCAAAACGTTTCGTTAAAAATCAATTTAATAATATTTTTATTTATTCGATAAAAACCTTTTCATTGAAAATAACACTTTATATTAAGTAATAAATTTTTTTTTGTCAAAACGGACGTAAGAAATCAATTTAATATTTTTTTATTTATTAAAATATTATTATTACTTGACAATAAAAAAACAAATACATAAACACAATTTGAGTTGATACCAATATTCATTAAAATGTTGTAATTCAGCACTAAATTATTCTAAAATAAAAATGTTTAGGAAATATTTTAAGTTAAAATTAAATTTAAAATAATTTAAAAAATCATATAAACAAAATTGTTTTTAAATAATATATTTCCTTAATTCAGCTAAACTTAGGTTTTACAATTAAGGACAAGTTATAAAATATTAGTTTATGAAAAGTAATAATTTATATAACAATTAATGTAAACACAAAAAAAAACATAACTACATATTTACTTTATTATACTCCAACATTTAAATGGTGAAAATAGTCGAGAAACATTTTTCAGAAGGTCAAAAAATGGTATTCGTATAGTACTATGACATGTTAAAAACCGGTTATTAACTTTCGGCCAAAAGGATATGTCAGTTTTAAGTCATAGATCCATTTCTTCTGAGTCCATACATATTTTTTTTAAGAAGCCTACCAGCTGCTAGAGTCGCTTAGAATGAGGTTCCGCTTGTCCTTTCACTTCCTCAGCAACTGTTTAGGTGTACTGAGTATCTAAAAATACATAAAACATATTACTATAGTTTATAAAAGCAGTATTATAAAATAGTAAACGCAGTATTTGTGTTTTTACATGACGCCAAATTATAATAAAAAACTTGACATTTTTTTTTTTTGGAGCGAATGCTTTATGCACCGTCAAACCGACCATCGCTAGAATGATGCGTCCGACTCCTACTGTGTAGTACACGAACGAAAACACCCTCCCTTCTTCTTAAGGACCGCTTTCGCATTAATTCGGGTGAATCCCTTACAACATGGCTATCCATGGCATATGCTTCTCGTAGAACCTGCGTCCATGCCCTTATTCCAGATCTGAATTGGAAAGTCTTCAGATTGCTATTCGTTTTAGATTAGTTTGCGTCCAGGTCTTTTTTTTCTGGGCATGTTTCCAATGAATTGTGTGATTTTGTTCCACTTTTCTGCTTATTCTGTTATTTTTTCAATGATATTCTCGACTGTAAGGTGCTCTAGATATTCTGCAAGTAGCATTCTTTTTTCATACGATCTTTCGCAGTTAAAGAAAGTATACGCAGCATCGGGTTCATCTGATGTGTAGTATATACAATTGAGCTGCTCTACTTTTTGCATTCTGTGTAGATATTTTCGAAAATATCCATGATCAAATAGGAACTGTGTCATAATAAGCAATCTTGCCAAAATTTCTTTCTGTCGACGATTTTACATTCGGAATTAGCTTTGCTGTCTATCTTCCTCTTAAATTGGAGTTCCATTGTTGTTGCGAAGTCTGGAAAGTTTGTTCTCTTATATTTTGACAATCTGTTGATAAGTTTGTTGGTCTCTGTTCCCAACGTTTTCTCTGTTCATATGTCTGAAGGTATACTGCTGGCTCGGATACGGTTCAGTATGTAGAAGCTACTCGAAGTTCAACAGTCCGTTGTTGAGCTGCATAAAATTTCTTTCTACATTGAACTTTTAAAGCGTTTGTCCAAAATTCGCAACCGTAGAGGAGTATTTGGACTGTGGTCACCATAAGTAATTTTAGTTTACTCTGTGTAGAACGTCTCACGTTAGCCATCAGTCTAAAGTAATATTAAGTTTTTTTAAACATGCATTGAGCACTAAGAGGTTTTAAAAAATTTTCAAAATTTGTGCTACAATCATAGCACTCCTACAGTAAAATATGGCACAGTTACATGTGTCGTCCTAAACATAATATGTTTAAAGATTTGCCAATTTATAATAAAGATCGTTTAGCAACCATTGAACATAGTAAAATTGTAAAATTATACTACATAAATGGTAACAATTTTTTTTAATGCGGTTGTTTCCTAATATTAGGAATTCTCCTGATGAAGGCAAAAGCGAATTTGCCGAAACACGTGTAGAGATACAAAAAAAAAAAACATTCGAAATAAAAGTCAATATATTTTAAAAAACAAAAATAACCGCATTTAAACAATTTCGAAGTAACGACTCAAAAAAAAATAAATTTTTTTTAATTCTCGATTGTTAAATTTACCAACAAACGAAATTGACTCAACTAAAGCATTCAGCATCCACAAGTAACAATTGAAAGACCATGTATAGTTTTAAGTCAATGGATGATCTGACATTTGATGAGGTGGTATGATAGATCCTCCTCAGAACTTATTTTCATTTCTTACATGAGAAATTTCTCAGATGAGTGATTTCACGTTTTAACTATGTGAATCGGTCTCCAAGAAGATATGATTTGTGATCTCTGAATATTTTTTGTGAATAATCCACAAACTCTCGAGCATTTGAAATATTTTAACAAACATCTTTCGATATAGCCGAAATATTGTCAACCATATATCCATAAATCATCGAAAATTATCTCAAATAAATTTAATATGTCCCATGCAGGACATTTTAATGATTTTTTTTAAATCTGATGGCAAGGATTAAACAATATATTGAAATAAAAATTTATTTTTATTTCACTTCGAAACAGTAAAGTAGATAATCCTCTGTTATTTTTACTATCATATTTGAGGTGATGAGGTAAATCACATATTGGCCTATATATATTAATAAAAGTGGAACCGATATTTATAAAAGCAATTCTTCCAATCTAACCAGTTCAACAATATATTCAAACCTTTGATATTCCTTATTAAAATGGCAAATTTGATAAAATTAATCATGAAGAAAATAGAGAAAGAATCATGTACTTTTGTCAGTTTTCACAATAAGAATACTTTTCTGCAAGTAAAAATCATTATTTTAAAAAAATTTTACATATCTCAACAGAACTGAGGTACTTTTGTCAATTTGATTGGATTGATTATACCCAATAGTTCAAGTAACTTTTCAAAACAAAAAAAATTGAAATTGAGTGTATTTTATTTTTATTATTAATTAAATAAAATATTTTAAACTTAACAAACCAAACTTATGAAGTTATGATTAATTACGAATATTAAGGATATGAACAGCACATAGTTTACAATAACGATTTTAAGGACCGCATTACTATGATGTATTGATTCCGTACTACTGCGTATAGTTGGGGTGTCAATTTTCTTGTGTTCTAGTCCAGTGCCGATACCTGACGACCGAGGTTTTTTAAAGCTTTCATAATACCACTCCATACCATCTTTGCGATCAATGCGATCTACTTGAAATGAAGGCGTTACTTCAGCTGGTTGACTGCTAATGCCAGCGTTTGGTAAATCTACGGAAAGAGGGTCACTGTTCGAAGCACTTATATAATCTCCTTTACTAGTTGTTGTGCGATAAAATTCTTCAGCTGTTGGTAAATAATGATTTAAAGTTTGCGGAGTAAACACTTTTGTGATAGTTGAACGGCCCCCGGATGGACGAGCTATTCTTGTGGTTGTCATAGGAGTATTTTCAGTGGCATAGCCTTGTGTCAGTTCAGTTGCTATAGTTGTAGTGACCCACGAATGTCGTTTATATTGTTCCATATGTTCTTCTGGTGGTGGTATTAATAGTATTGTTTCAGGTGTAGTTGTTTGAATTAGAGGTGGTGGCTTTAAAAGACCTACTGATTGAGCTTCAAGATCATCGTAAAAGTCAGAAACGATATAATTTTCTGTAGTTGGCATACCTGTAGTAGAGGTGGTAGTTGGTTGTTTATTCTCATTTATAGTGGCTTTAGTTGATGTTACTGGCACTATTGCACTTGTTGTCATTGTAGTTGTAATAATAGTTTCTGGCGGTGTTATACGTCTTAAAGATGTAGTCACTTCGTTTTGGGCTTCAGTAACAAAATATGTATCCGAGTTATTGTCTTCAATTTCAGTGGATTGGGTGACAACTTGAGGAATTTTTAAATTGTTATATTTTTCTTCATTGCTTTTGTCTTTTTGTGTTTCTTTTATGTTGACTGGTATAACGTTGTTTTCTATTTTTGTATGCTTCATGGATTTGGCAAAAGGGGCTGCTGTAGTAATAGCCTCTACTATGCCACGTCTTGTGGGATCATGTACTGGTATAAATCCACCTATGTGCTCCGGTATAATTGGTCGAAAACCACCACGTTCTACTGTTGAAGGTTTAAATGATGTTTTAAACGAATTTATGGGAGTTTCGTTACTTGCTGCTTCCTCAGAGCCGGATTCTATGTATCTACTTCTTGGCGTGACATCTTGGAACTGTTCCTCTTGCTTTAAGTATTTTTCAAATTCAGCACTATTTGGTTGATACATTCGTTCTTTAGCACGTGAAGTATGCATTCTGTGCGTCGCTGGCATTTGTGAAGTCGTGTCTGGTGCATTAACTCTATCTCCATTTTTTTCTCCTCGATCTTTTCTACCACGATGCCCAGCACCAAAAAATCTGCCCAAACTTAAGCTCGGCAATGGGTAACCAAAAAATGTAAACGGCGAGGATGATTGTACTGATTGTAAGCCTTGATGTTTATTTATGAAATTAGTATTTAGAATTGTGTTATTAAGATCAATATTGGGACTAACAGGCGTAGGTCTATTTTGATGGCTTAAAACGGTGTTACTTGTATCTAGTTGTATGTTAGCAGTAGGTTTATCTGTAGTTATAGAACCTGAGTTATTGTTAGGTGCATAGTCAACATATTGATCGTAAAAATATTCACTCTCCCCAGCAAGAGGACGCTCTCCAGGAGGGACAAATATATCACATTCTTCAGTAAAATCATCGGGAAGATCACGTTGAAATACGTCGCCGTGTTCGTTCAGTAAAGGTAAATTATTTAAATTTTCATTGGCAACGTAACGCTGATTGTCTTCATAATCAACACATAAGCTTTTTTCCATACGTGATGAACGTAACAAGCGACCATCTTGACATTTCGGACCAGGATAAGGAAAATTTGTTTCTTGCAGCCAAACAGAGAGCCATTGCATTTCACATGAACAATTAATAGGATTACCTAAGATAGGAATAAAATATATATATGTATGAATTTATCGATATGTATGTATTAGAGTATAATAATATGTATCTTACCATCAACATCCAATATAGCGATGTTGCCCCTCAAGTTTCGAAAAGTACGTTCGGAAAGAATACGTAGTCGGTTATTTCGCATTGACAGCACTCTTAAGCGTGGCATTGTCTCAAATGGAGAACCCTTAAATGTAAAAAGTAGTTAAATAATATATTATCCGATAAAACTTAGGCAAGAAATAAAAAAGAAGAAACAAAATATAGTACAGATGTATCTGTTGTTAAGGGTATTTTAAATATGAAAGCACTAGCCTTATAGAAGAGTCAAACAAAGATTAGAATTATTATGAATGAATTTAATGTACTAATGTTATGAACTTAACATGGATAAAAATAGAAATAAGAATATAAGCCAAGGAACAATTTACCTTAATGAAAATAATTTATTAGTATTTGTATTGTAAATAGTTACTCCACTATAATAATCAATAAAGTTTCGCTCAATAACTATTTTTTTAACATTAAGGAATATAATTTTAAGTAAAAAATATCCTTAAAAAAATTGGGAATAAGGGAATTATGGTTTATTGAGCCCATTATTTAATGACTCTTTTATTTAATGACCTCATTATATCATGAGCTCGGCTTTCACAATGAAATATTATTTGGAGCACAGTTTAAGCTTGACCACAGCTTAAATATATTCGATACCTTAGATACCTTGAGATTAAAAATGGTAAAATATATCATCGATTAACAGCGTTAATTAAGTAACAAATGATTTTTAAAAAATTAAAAAATAAGAGTAAAACAAACCTGGACTTTGCAAATTTCATTATTGTCTAATTTCAATTCAACTAGCCAACTTAGAACTTTTAGGGGCATCGTAGATACGGTTCTTATGTTATTAGTTGATAAATCCAAAACCTCCAAGTTTCTCATGCTTCGAAGTCCAATATTTTCCAAACTGTGAAAGTTGTTATTTGAAAGATTGAGAAACACCATAGACGGAGAATTGTAAAAACTTTCGGGCGAAATATAACGCAAGAAATTATATTGAAAATGCGAAGCTAACAAATTGGGGAGATCCTCAAATACATGATCTTTTAATTCAACAAGTTTGTTATCAGCCAAAACGAACTCTTGTAAGTCGGGTAAATTTTTTAGAGCACTCGGTTCCACTGTGTTAATTTCATTACTTGACAAATCGAGGTACTGAAGATTATGTAGATTTCTAAAAGTACCGTGTTTGAGGTCTGTGATTAAATTATTGGATAAACGTATTTCCACAATATTTTTCCAAGCTGACACAACATCTGCATGAACACGCGAAATTTGATTATAGCTTAAGTCAATGTCGCGTAAATTAGCTAGGGACGATAAACTTATTGATATATCGGTTAGTGCATTCCCAGATATATCTAAATACTCTAATGATCTCTGTGATTCAAATGCTGCGGGTGATATAGTACGGATTAGGTTTCTCGATAAATCTAGCTGTTCTATATGGCTATTATTTGAGAACATATTGTCAGTTATAATTTCCAATTTATTGCCTTGTAAGTTAAGATTGCGTAGTTCCGACATAGGGAGTAATGAGCGTTCATCAATTTGTGATAGCATGTTGTCTTGCAAGTGTAAAAGTTCAAGTCGATGCGCTCCAATAAATGTTGTATCATCCAAAAGGCGTAAGCGATTATTAGCTATACTTAGCACTCTTAGTTGTGGTACACCCTGACATGCATATTTTGGCATTTGTTCCAAATGATTTAAACTTAAGTCGAGCATACGTAAATTGGGCAAATGCAAGATTTTACTAATAGAAGGAGGTAACATAGCTATTGAATTGCCACGAACGGATATACGCTCGACAATTTTGGGTAAACCAGGTATAATTTCAATTAATTGATTATGGCTAGCATCAACTTCAAATAGTCGATTCAGATTACGAAAAGTTGCTGGAGCAATATTGCTCAGTTCATTGTGAGATATATTCAATGTCTCAAGCATTGGGTTGTGTTTGAAAGTTGATGGATCAATTTTTGTGAGACCGTTTTCACTTAAGTCGAGACGCCTTAAAGAAGGTAGACCAGCCAGCAAATATGAATCAATAGTGCGGAACCTATTTGCAGCCAAGTCTAAGCCCTTTAAACCTGGTAAGTTCCAAAATGGCATAGGCAATTCACTTGAGAGACTATTATTTCTCATACGTAGTTCTCTTAATGCAGGCATTGCCATCAATGCATCATGTTCAATTATACGTAACAAATTGTTATTAACATGTAATTGCTCTAATGTTCCATGTCCACGTAAAGCACCATAGGGTATTTCTGAAAGCAAGTTGCTACTAATATCAAGAAATTTTAACATAGGTAAGGCGTTAAGCAAAGAGCGCAATTCGCTCACCTGCTCTATTTCATTGTTATATATATACACGGTTTCAACTCCACTTCCCGATGCTTGTAGAAACGACTCTGGATGTATACGAATGATGTGATTGTTGTGTAAATAGATAATCTTTAGCATTGGGGTGCGCAAAAATGCTCCATACTGTATTTCAGTGATACGATTATCATTTAAATGCAGTTCCGATAAATATGGCAAATCGACAAATGAACCATCCTCAACGATATTTATGATATTGTGATCCAAGCGCAGTTTTTTTAAATTTTCTAAGTCTTTGATAATGCGACCCACCATGCCGACGTCACTTATTTGATTATAAGAAAGCTTTAGACTTATTAAGTTTGGCAAACGCGTCAGGGCACGCAAATGTATCCAACTGATACCATTTCGGCTGAGATCGACATTTTTCAATGAAATCAGTCCATCAAATAGTCCTGACTCTAAGCGGTTTAAATTTGGTCCACCATTAATGTGTATATTCTGCAGTTTGGGTAGATGACGAAACCAATGAGGCTGTAATTCCGTAAGCGATTTACTTTGTACGCTCAAATAAGTCAAGCTAAGTAGCCCCGTAAAGTCCGGTAAATGCTTTAGCGCATCACTCTGTATTGTAATGGCAACTATGTTAATCATACCATTTAAGCTTTCCACTGGTATACTGCGCAACTGTGGTTCCACTATATAAATTTCTACCAAACTGTTTTCAAGTTCATTAAGCCAACCATTGGAGACGCGTTCAATATTATTGTAACGCAACATTAGACGTACGATTTGAAGATTGCCAAAAAAGCGACCTGGTAAAGCAGGAAGCTGATTATTTTCCAGTACCAATTCATCGATTGGTCCCTTAAAATTTTTTTCAACAGCTTTTATACCATCCATGATCTGTGGAAGATTGCTATGTGAACACCTACGGAAATGGAATATATAAATTATTTATGTTTATTGAATAAAACTTCGGTTTTACCATATTTGTATTTCTTTGCCTCTCGTCGAGCACCTACAGGGCAAAATGACTTCAGATGCTGGGCAACCATCTGCTTGAACTACTCCAACTAAAAATATTGCAATACTTATTCGTATAAGGAGTTTGAGGGAATTGAAGCTATCAATGTTTCTTTGACGCCACCACGGAATTTTCATGCTACGTCTGAACTCCATTGTAGTTTGTCTTTAAATATTGTGATTCTGTGTCAAATATTGCAGAAGACATTTGAGTAGTTTGAAACTGAAATGTGAAGAGAAATGATTGTAAGTTTAAAAAAAAAACTAGTTGGAATAAAAATTCGATGGTATTATATAAAAACTAACATTTGTTATGTTAAAATAGATAATGTTTTTATAAATAAAAAAAAAACTTTTGTTTTCAAAACAAAAAAATCTATTAATACAATAGGGAAATGCGAGAACTTTTCCAACAACTATTAAAGTAATTATGTATTATTTGAAGAAAGTACAAGTTATGACTTAAGACTTGTACTTTTTGGTTACATATTTTAAAATACAATGACTATTTTTTAATTCTCATCCCGAAACTCATAAACATCTAATATCTCCAATGAAATATTATAATCATTACCTACCTTCTATTATGGGTTTTATCTACCCATATCTGTGCTTCAGTTTAAGATCATACTCTCATCTAGGCATCTATATTTCCATGAGTAGGCATTAATTCCATGAGTAATGCTAATATCGTAATAAATCTATATAAATCTCACAAAATAGCAGAAGTTATCAGTAATACAAATTAATCAATTCTAGCAGATGTATAAGAGCGTCAAGTAAAATTTATTTTTGGTAATCAAGATAAAATGAGAGACAATGTGTTTCAGGCTTTGTGAAAAAGTATATAGATGCTTGATCTGTCAGATATAGAAATGGTAAAAAATTGTAACATTTTCGTTTCTATTCGAAGGGCTAGTTGCTTTCTCTTCAGTGAGGGTTGATGAAAGATCTATCATAGCTGTAAACTTTTTTCAATCCAATATTTTTATAAAGATATTATAGCATTAGAGAATTTTATTTTCTTCTATTAGAATTTGAACTTGATTATATTTATTTGAAACATTTCCAACCCCAAATCATTCAATACAATTCTTATTATTTTCAGAACAGAATAGGTACATCATCTTTTATTAATCCTACTTTATGGAATTAAAAAAGGTCTTCTTGGAAGATCTCACTTTCCTATCTGTACATTAAAGTCCCTTAAAAATTATTATACCTAAAATAATTTTGTTTGCTCAAAAAATTATATAAATTTAGATTTTGCTATACTATGAGGTAGCAATAAAAGAAATAGAAAAATTAGTAGAAACATTGTGGCAAAGGAAACCAAAATACTTTCGAAATACCTGAACACCAAATTGGATACGTAACAAATTTAGCCCAAACAACAACAACAAAACAACAAAACAACAAAACTAGCGAACATGTTCAGAGCGCGCAGAGTTTTGTAATTTTTGTAAGAGTTTCGAAACTTCAGCAGCACAGCGAAGCGTTCAATGGAGTTTCAACTGTGTTGGCATTTCCATATGAGTTAACCATAATGTTTCGTTCTTCAGAGATGGGAGCATGAGCATTTATGAAATCGTACATGTAAGTAAGACGGTTTTGTGATGTGCGCCACTGCATTAAACGAACCTTGAAATCAGTGTCGCCAGCGACGCAGCTCAAAATTTCTTCAAACTCAGATTTATGTTTCTGTTTTGGCGGATCTAAACAGGCCTAACTGAAGTTAATAGGGACACTTATACTATACGTTTACTATACATATAATGTATAAATATATAGGCGTACTATGTTTATTTAAATAAGCGGATACATACTGAGTTGTTCATGTTTTATTGTGTTTAATGTATAATAATGTTTAATATTTTTTTTTGTTTAAAACAATATCAAACTTTTTTACAAAAAAAAAAACACCAAAATTTTTTTTTGTAATTATTTTATAAACCCTAATTATTACATAATACAAAAATCTACCTAATAAGAGGTAAATATAAGCTTCATTGAAAGCATTTATATAGGCAGTTACATATTTGACATATAGTATATTATGTCATATATTAATATTATTCGTTAAACAGGCTTAGGCCCTATATGGACTGTATAGTCACGGACGATGATGATTATTGCTTAACGTTTATATATTTGCATATGGTTTATTATTTGATATAACTTATTTTTTAATTTTTTATTTATACTTATTAGCAATTTATTTAAATTCACCTCCTAAAAGCAAAATAACGTAAAGGAAAAATAGTCTATTCTATAGACTATTCTATCATTTTTGAGCTAATGGAATGCTACTTTCGATAGGGCCAAGTTTTTGATTTCAATAGCGCCCATAGAAAATGGTTAGTGATCTAGGACGCATACCTGTCATGGTGCCCATATTTAATGACGTCATGTATTTATAATAAAAATTTTAAACGAAGAAAAATATTTCTTAAAATCGTGAAATCTGCGTTTTTTTTTATTGAATGAAAACACAACATACTCTTCAAATACTTCTATTACTAATTGAATTAAACATTGAATTTTAAAAATTTAGAAATGTAAGCTAAATCCCATAAACATAAGTTGTGACTTGCAATTTAATGGAGTTGGTAACAGCAAGCACCTTTACTTTTTCCACTGTGTACGCCTCATTAAATCCACACTGGATGAGCTTGGCAAGCCATCACACTTTTATTGTAAAACTAGTTTTATTAATTTCTGTACCATGACAGTACAGATATGGACTGATGTTAACTTCATAAACCGAAGATGAAACTATCTTAAGAAAACTGGACCGCCATAGACCGAATCGTTACGATCATATACAAACGGAAAAAATATGATCTCTAAAATGACTGATTTCTCAAAAAAAAAGAGGTAAACAAATAAATTTGATTAGTTAGCCTGGACGCAGGCTAAGGTAGATAACTAATACAGGGACACTACCAAGAAGTATTGGATTAAAAGATTATTTTTAGTGTGTGCAAACCGCGCATATAGCACTATTGAGACGTGACATAGTGAATTTTTAAATTTCTCCTCCGGAAAAAAATAGTAAATCGTGATAAATATAATAACTTTAAGAAAAATTATATTATTAATAATAAATCAAAAATTTTTGAAATGTGTTTGATAATATGCTTTTGTGTTATTTAATCATTTATTGTCACATATAGACGAAACTAAAGTGTGCATAAAAATTTGAATCTATCCCTTAATTGAAAGAATCGATAAAGACTTTATATTTAATAACATTTTTAAAAACCATGTAGATCAAAAAGTAATAAAAACTGTTAAAGCAAAATAGAAAGACCCGACCACTGCTGTAAAAGAGCTTCCATCATTCACCTTGAAAAATTCGGTTATGATTTTATCGCTTTAAATTAGTGATTGTAGAACAATTAAAGTATATTGTATCTTAATATGAAATAGTTTAAGACAGCTACCTGATAGCTTCAATTCCCTTAAAACATGTCCCCTAAAGCAAAATAAAAAACTTGAAGAAACATATTATTCGTACTCTGATAAGTGCAAAATCGATATAGCAAAGATATAGCTATTTACAAAATCTTATAATATATGGTAAAAGTTAAAAAGATTTATTCACGACTTTTGCTTATTCTGTTGAACTTATTTACCTACCTTATTGATATTAAAACACTAAATAAATTTGTTGTTTTATAATAGAAGAGTCTTTATCTAACTTCTTCGGGTATTTCGCCGGTGAGATCTGTCCGCTACGCTTGACTGACGTGTTTTTGTTAATATATATTTTACAGTTGTTACAACATTTGCCAGAATAGAGCTTAGTAGCATCATATATCTCTAACTGTATTTCCACACAAGATTTACGCAAAAAGATTTGTTCTAAGTTATAGTTCTAAATTATTTTTTTCATAGGTGGGTTAGACGTTCTTGCGAAATATTCGTATTTTACTATCATTGATATGCTATGTCAATTATTTTTCACTTAACTGTTTTATAGCGATATGAACCACCCATACCTGCATTTTTATTTATTAGTTTTCAATAATAGTGTGTATTTACTAAAATCTAATATCTTATAATATTCTTAATATTAATAACTGTCTTAAACTGAAAACTACTAATAACTACTGATTTCCCCTGAGACAGCTTTCGCATTATTTCTAGGAGGGTATCTTTATGTTGGCATTTCAAGCCATGCTCTTGTGATATTCGATCTGCGTCCAGACCACCACTTTTTCATCGCATTTTCTTGATGTCTGCATTATTTAATAGCCTGGTCTGGTTCTCCTTTTTAGGTCTAATTCGCTTGGAGATCTTGAATCACATATGACTCTATCATTCGCCAATTTTCTGGATTCGCACTCATCTTTCCCATTATATTTTCGAGATTTATTGGACCAATTTGGACTATTATCTCTTCTCTAAATGTGAGACATCTATTACAGTATGCTCTGCATCATCACAGTCTCCGTCGTCATAAATGCAGAGTTGATTAAATCAGCATTTCCCATGCGGTACAGGTACTTGCAAAAATATCCATCCGGTCAGCATCTGAGTAAGATAGTATTTTGTGTTTCCCGATATTCGTTTGAGGCAGGTGATTATATTTCATATCATTCTACCTGTCCATCTTCCTTGAGTGTTATTGTTCTAACTTTGTTGCCACATTTTGAGGCTTTGCTCCTGATCTTCTTTTGTCATTTGTTAAGTATAGTAGTCGGTCATTTTCTTAAATTTGAAAGTCTTAACATTAAGAAATCTTTGAAAATCATCTAAAGTCAATTAATTGTGAGAATCACACAAAGGTTATTAAATTAACTCTCGGTCATTTTCTTAAAGTTGAAATTCTTAACATTAAGAAATCTTAAATAATCATCTAAAGTCAAGTAATTGTGAGAATCACACAAAGGTTATTAAATTAACTCTATGACCAATTTCGCCATTGTAAATATCGTTTGGAATATATTGGAATATACTACATTTCATAGAGTGAAAAGTATTGTGAGCGCTTACGTTTCATAATAATGAGGAAGTCAGGAGGGAGGATGGTCAGGTTGGAGAGGGTTAGGTTGAGAAGGGTGATCGGGCGAGTGAAAGTAGGTATTCATCAATGCATTAATACAATACAAAATGACATTGAAATTGAAATGAAATAAAATTAAATGAAA